TGTAAGGCCTTCCCTGATTGGCAGCAGTGAGCTTTCGATTGAGCTCAGCCATCACATGGACCCGCAGCCTTAAACAACCTGGCTGTTCTCTGGCAAAACCAAAGGCAAGGCAGAGGTGGAGATCACCATGCTTTTTAGACAGATGACTTGTGTCTGCAACTTGGTAATGTCTGAGGTGTTCTCTCTTGTAGATCTTCTGAACCTTTTCTTTATCCAGTTTAGACTAGCTAATTTCATAAATATCTGAGGTTGTCAAAGGGTGCTTCTGCTTCCAGAAGATCTTTTGTATGCTGCTAACAGAAGGTGGGCATTAGAGCAGGCTTTTGATGAAAAGAGAATCATTGCAGCAAGGAAGAATCCTAATCTAAAAGAATTGATTCTGTCTGTATTTCCCTGAGCAGGGAGAAGCTTGTTGTTCACTCTTTAAACAGTTTCTTGAACCTTCTGTAAGAGCAAGAAACATTAACCTTTAAAAATATTATACAAGAGCTGTTGATGTGAAATGGACTGTTGCTATAAGATGATGGTAGAAAATGGTTGTTCTTTGAAATAGTGCTTTCTGGAATATGCTGCATTGCCTGGGAAAGCTGCTTTGTGATCTAAACTTGTCTTCTGCCCTATGGGGAAGGAGGGGAAAAATAACAGTATGTGATGATCAAATAGCCTTTGTGCTAAACCAGATGTGTGTGTGGGAGAAGGCGTCCGATCTATTATAGACGAATTGAAGCCCAGCCTGTGTACTGTACTGCATAACAAACTTTATAGCGGGGCAGATGGGTCCTTGCTGGGCAGGGAAGGTCTTTCACATTAGGGTGTCTGTTGTGAGTCTTGTGACTCTCTGGGGTCTCTCCTGTGAGTCTCTCTGGTGTTTCATATCTGTGTGTCTGTGTTTCTCTGGGGCTTCTCTTGTCTCTGTCTCCCCTCACTGGGCTTTCCAAAACTGTTCTACTTCTGTCCTGAAATTAACTGTTTCAAATACTGAGTTTTGTGGACACTTAAACTAGCTCCATTAGGATCTGCTTTACACAATGGTCACTTCAAGAAAAATAAAGAAGGCTTTCTATTGCATAACAGCTCCTCCTCTTTCATCCTAGAATATATAGAGAATACAAAATACAGAATTGTAAACAGTTCTGTGTTCAAACGACAGTCATGCTTGTGCTAATATTGCAAGTTTTTTTTTTTTTTTTTTAAATCCCTCTTGGGAAAGTTGAATTGCTGCAGAGTGGAAAAAAGCTTGCACTACTTTTCAACTGGGGGGAGGCTACACACAGCTGTGGTTTTTGGATCTTCTACCTGCAGGGAAGGCAGCTACAGTAACAGTATGACTGCTTGGTTCTCCTATTTTTCTCTCAGATCTGAGAGTACCTCTAAAAGTTTTCAAGCTACAAGTAAGGTGTTTTGCCTCTTAATACACATTTTCCTAATTACAGTCAGAAAAAAAAACCATGCTTGACCGTCATAACTTTGTGTTTTCTCTTGCTAGGGAGAACGCTCTTTTTCTCAGAGTTAAGAGAATCAGTTGGCAGTGAGTGGGTCATATGGTGACTCAGCCTTGCTCCTCTTTTACAGGGAGGGGAGCAGGACCAAGTCCAAAAGGTGACTGTTGTTGCATAAAGTTATGACCACAAAAGAGAATCGAGGTCACTGGCACCTTCAATGAGAGGATGTCTCTAGGGCTTTTTTTTAATGAGGGAGGCGGAGGTTAAGCCTCCTTAAATTTCATCAGTACTGCTCACCTGTAATTGCATTTAAAACTTATCTGAAGGGCATGTTTCTGAGGAAGATTCTGAACAAATTCTGTCAGCTAAAGGCTGATATAACACTCTGCCATAATGGCAACTGCCTGAACTAGATATCTGGGAAATGACAGACTGTTTCAGCCTTTAGTCAGCTGATCTGATGGCTTGCATTTCCTTCAAGGAAAACCTTAGGCTTTCCTTCCAGCATCTCTGACTGTTCTGGAGGGGATGCTAGGGAGCGGGAAACTTAGCCAGTGCTCATCTTCTCTCCTCCTTTGCCCTCACTCCCCCTTCTACCGATAATTATAGCTGTTTGCATGGAGATTCGCTTTTTTTTTTCTCCCTCCTTCATGGGAACTCTTAGTGTTCTGTAGCGGCAATAACTGTCAGGTAGGTCAGCCTCACTGTTAGTCTGCAGTGATCTCTGTCATTCCATATTTGCACTTACGATGGCTATCTCAGTGCTTCCTTTTACCAGAAGACTAGGGCAATTGCACTAAACTTGTTGTTAAAACTTGCTATCCAAGTACAATCTAAAGAGGTTTTCCTTAGTGACAAGGATTCCTTTGCTTACTGAGGTAAACTTGCTTCAAGTGGTTAAATAGATTGCCTCATGCTGGCTTTACTGTTAGAAAAGTCAGTCAGCTGCTTTTAAGAGCTTGTGAGGGCTTGCGGGCAAGTTGGCCATTTAGTCTGAGGCTGCTGCTCCTTTTTTCCTCCTCTGTGCTGAGACTAGAGGTTGCCAAAGGCCTTGCAGGTGCAACCCTTCCTTTCTTTACTTTCCATGACACCTGCTATGTGTGTCAATAAGTTCATGTGCACTTTGTAAACGTAGTTGGGTAAGACAATGCAGTTGTGTTTGTGCTAACTGGCCAGATTCATGCGGAGTTTTGGAAGGGAGCACAAAATCGGCATGTAGGGCAGGAGGACCACAAAGCTTGTCACCGCTTTCAAGAAGTAGTACATATGTTCAGACCCGCTCCTCCAAAAGGAGCTCTCAAATAGCTGGGTTTCTGTAGCGCTCCAGCTTCTTGTCTGCATTTCTGCTCTTCAGCTGACACAAGAGTAAGCCTTGCAATAGCACTCTATTGTAAAGTTGCTGTGTTTTTAGTTTGGTCGAGGTGCATTGTCTAACTTTATGTTTCCAAAATAAAAAGGGTTTAAACTGATACTATAAAAAGTGCTGACTCGCTTTTATTCCTCAAACTGCCCATACAGCTTTTCTGTTATGCGCCGCAATCTGCGAGCCTTAGCTGCAACAATCCGTGGCTTCTGTTTTGAGCAGCGTGCCCCCTCCCTACATTAGACACTAAACCAGAAAAGTTGCACCAAGTTTTCTTTGTCTAGTCGGTTGCTTTCTCCTATTGCTGTCGAGTCACAAAACCTCAAATGGGTTTAAAAAAAAAAAAAAACAAAACAAACCCACTTCTCAAAGTGCTCATTTTGCCTGTAGCTATTAATATGAGAGCGATAGCTTGTGCTCTCCTGGTTTCAGAAGTTGTGTTTTCGTGCAGCAGCGCCTACCTAATGGAGTGTCATTTCTCATGGTAGTAACCCTAAATTTCTTGCTTGGAGCGCTCACCCTCTTTGTTCTCTGGCTTTATGGGATGAGTAGGTAGCTGCTCCTTTGGGCTAAGTTGTCTTTTTCGGCTTTATTTACTAAGCTGATTAAAGAATTGAATTTTGCAAAACTGCTGGGCAAGAAGGTGCAACTTGAGTGTTACCCTGTGGTTTCTCAGATTACTTTTCTCGCTAAAACAAGGACTCCAAGCTGGTAGCGGAGGTGTTGCTGTAGCAAGGGCTGCCTAAATCGGCTCCAACGTTTTGTGGCCCCAGCAGCATAGCTTGCAGTGTAACATGTCTCTGGGAGACTTGCAACCCGAGCTCCGGCTACCTGCACCATCTGGAAAAAAGCACAGGTCCGAAGCTATTCCGTGGGGTGTTTGATAACAGCGGGGCTGTTTTATTAATGGCGCTTTTCGGCG